GAATACAAATTAGAAAAAAAATAGTTCTATATTTAATATTTTAACTATATTTATACTATTGAATTTAGGCACCCAATGTGACATTATACTCTCTATTTTCTATAATTACTATAACTAAGTATTCTAAATAATTAGCTAGCTAGAATAGGTTAGAAGAGATCTAAGGTATATACAATGATATTAGATTATATAATTAGTAAAAAAAAATCCTTATAAAAACCATTTTTCTATAAATAAGGTAAAATCTATTTGTAAAGAATTTGTTGAAGTAAGTATTAATACTTGAGATAATCTAGTAAAGAAGAATTTTTTTTATTTGGTTTTAAAGGTTATATTACAAGCTTGTTCCTATTTATATTGAGAAATATTCTTACAACCTATATTTTATTATAGAACTTATTTAAGAAGTTGTTGGAGAGATTAATAAGAAAAGGTTTAATTTATTTGTTTATAAATACTTTAATATTATCAAAAATATTAAGAGGAAAGATAACTAAAATATAGTATAAAATATATTTATATTAGAGATTAGAGGTATTAGGTCTGAAAAGAAAAAAATATTAAGAATTAAAGATAAGGTATATCAATTTTTAAAGTAAATAAAGTATTAGAGATTGCATTAGATAGGAAGTTTTAAATATTAATATTGTTGATTAGGCATAGTAGAAGATAAAATTTATCTTTGGTATTTAAATATCGAGAACAATTTAAGGTAGTATATAAATAAGAATAATAAATATGAAGATTTTCTATAGTTAGAAGATTATTAGTTAAAATTTTGATTTGAAGTGAATATTTTACTTGATTATGTTCTAGAGAATTGAAGATATCAAAACAAAATGACCAATTGATTTCAGATAATTCTCAATATCTTAAGGAAATACTATAAGTAAAGTTTTTGAATTGTATATATTTTTTTAATAAAAATGTGTATTTTGAAAGAAATAAAATTATTATTCCAAGAAAAGTATATTAATAAATTTAGAAAATTATAATTGATTTTGAGAATAGATTTATTAATTCCTTATTTGACAAGAAAATCAGCTTGTTTGTAAAGTGAGTTTGGAAATGATTTGATTTTATAAAGAGTGAAGATAATATTTTTAGTAAGTTTAATTTGATTAATAATATGAATAATGTCCCAATTTTGTTTTATAGTAATTTAGTGAGATAGGTTTGTTTTAGATTTTGAATAGCTATATCATTATCTAGGTTATTTAAGCCTTATTCAATCCACATGTATAAGCTTTCAGATATATATTTTTAAATTTTACTTCTGGGTTTTATTCTTTGTAAAATTTTTGAATATTATTGATATTAGTTTTTTAAAATATGATTTTTTGTATAACATAATTCAGCCTGTGGCATGACTGGGGTGGTATGCCAGGCTCAAATTTTAGCGAATGGCATGCCAAATTGTTTACCCGTGCCAGTCACCCTATAGATATAAAACACCATAGGTGCGATTTAGTAAAAGACTAAAGTAAAAAATAGAATTTACTTATTTGTAGATTATAAATTCACTTTTAAGCCATGAATTTGCAAACTTGAAAAGAATTAAACGAAGTAATAATCACGCGCATTCAAGAGTGTGGAATTTTATAGGAGATACATATCGTTTTTTGCATTCTTTATGCTGTTTGATTCGTAAAAACTCTAGCAACAACTTTAAGAAACATTGCGTATTGGAATTAAGGTTTAGCCGACTTTTAAATTGATGTGACAATTACTACGTAGTACAGGTCACGACTAGTATTGTTATGTGTACGTAACGTACAAAGTTAAATCGTAGTAAACCAGTTAACCAAAAATAGACGTGTCGTGTCAAGTTTAATGAAATAAATTTTTAATTAACTAGATATATCGATATTGTAATTCTTATATTTACGTTCAATTTACTACCAGAACTTTGAAAATTAAAAATCATGGTGAACTTTCTGAACTTCAAAAGTTGTGAACCACTCCAAACAGATATTCAAGATTTTAACGCAATAAGGTTTCTGACTATATAGTTTTTGTTTTATTTATTTAGACTGAGCCTCAAAACAGCAACACTGAATGGGAATGCCGAATTTCCCGTTCTCGCAAGATGGTTTATTATTATAACCGTGCTACTAAAGAAAGTACTTGGGAACTTCCTCCTGGCGTTGATCCTAATACTATTAAAGGTTATGGCGAGAAAGTAGAACAACGAGTACAGGCGGTTGATCCGTTAAGTGGCACAGAACAAATTAGGGCTAGTCATTTGTTAGTTAAGCATGAAGGAAGTAGACGTCCTAGTTCTTGGAAAGAAGTTAGTAAACTTGATTTATATATAGTTATGCCATTTAATTATATATTTACCTATGTGTATACACATATATATGCTTTAGCCAACAATAAAACGCACTAAAGAAGAGGCACTTGAATTAATTAAAGCCTATCAATCTCGAATCAAATCTGGAGAAATTACCCTTGATGAACTTGCTAGTACGGAATCTGATTGTTCAAGTGCTAAGCGTAATGGTGATTTAGGATTTTTTAGTCGAGGACAAATGCAACCTGCTTTTGAAGAAGCTGCATTTAATCTTAAAGTTGGGGAATTGAGCGAGCCAGTTTGGAGTGACAGCGGCGTTCACTTAATCTTAAGAACAAGTTAATACAAGTACTAGAGTTTAGAACCGGGTTATAGTAAACCGGGTCGCCCGTGTCAAAACGATTCAACCGGAACAAAAATTTACAACTCGGGTCAATACGGTTGAATATGTAACCTCTAAAAATCTGTTACTATTACACAGAAAACATCACAAAATTTAGCACATTATTATTGTATTGTGAATAAACACCCTTTTCTCTTACTAATGTTCAATCCCGCTAATCTGTGTTAAAAAAAAAAGTTACAACCTTTTGGAGGCTACTATACGAACTATCTACTGTTTCGAAATTTTTGTTAAAATTTTTCTTTGTATAAAATTTCTTTGCTTTGCTAATATGTAATACACATTCGATAGTACCTAGGAATTCGTAGCGCTGGGCTAGTAATCCAAATCGTTAGTTGAAAAACCAACTATATAATTGACAACTAGTTGACTAATCGATTGGAAAAATTTTAACCAACTAATCGTTGATTGATTATCTACATAATAGATTTTAGTATTAAATGTCTTTAGCCAATCAAATCAATACAAAACATGTGATTATTTATTTGACCAATCAAATTCATCAAAAACATGTGACAACTAGTTGCAACTGAACCCCTGTAGCTCACCCACAGAAAATTTTCCAACACGTGACTTTAGCCAATTAGATAAAAGGATCAGGTGTAACATGAAAATCATGTCTTTTTAAAAAATCGCTAATAACTCGAAATCTTGCCTATGAAACTGCCTTCTGCATTCTAACAAAAAAAATTTCTTGTAAAATTTTGATATAAGCTATGTTTTTTTTAGATTATATTTCTAACTCTAAAGAAGAAGCTTATTACTTTAAAATCTTTTGCTTAATTTAATTGTTTTGATTTTATGTTATATCTGATTCTTCGATCTAATTGGCTAAAAATCATGTTCTAAAAAATTTTTTGTAGGTGAGTTACTAGATTCATATGGATCCTACTAATGTTTTTATTAATGAATTTATTTTTCAGCTTTTTATTTAAAAACTTAGACCCGAGTATGCTATTAGTATTCAAATTGAAGTTTCTACTAATCTAAATGCTGTTACTTGCAATTAGAAAAATAGTTGACTTATATTTTCATCAACTATAGATACAGACCAAGCTATTAAACAATTAATCGATTAGATAGCATTAATCTTGCTTAACAGAAATCTGCCTTTATATATATATATATATATATATTTTTTTTTTTTTTTTTTTTAAACTTTGGCTAGGAAAGCCGGTGAAGCCTTTATTAGATCTATCCATAGATATATACATAATTTTTGAAC